GGGGACGGCGCCCGCGTTCCGCATGCTTTTTCCGACCGCGCCCCGCGACGCCAGTCGGACTCGCAGGACGCGCCGCCAGTGGCGTCGCCGCGGGGCTCTCGCCGCGCACCGCCGCCGCGGGGCGCTCGCGCGAGCACCCGCTCGGCTGGCCCAGCCGCCCGCTTCGCGGCCGCTCCGCCGCCGCGCGGCTCCGGCAGCGACCCCGCTTGCGACCTCGCTTCCGGAGCTCGCGACCCGCCCACGGTCACCGGCTCGGCGAGCTCCGGGAGCTTGCCGGTTGGCGCATTCTCGGCGCGGGGCGCCAGGATCAGCATGGGCCCTCCTGCTCGCGCCGCCAGTGCGCCACCAGCATTACGCGTCGACGGTGCACCCATGCGGGTTCCTGCGGATCGATTGCGGCCGAACGCGCTTGCGCGCATGCCCGCGGCCTCGGGGCCCGCCGCCGCCTCCTTCGCCATGCTTGAGGCCGCGCCCCGTGCCGGGGCCAGTCCGAGGTCTCTTGGCCCCGCGGCCGCGCCTCGCGCCGCACTTCTGTCGGTGGACTCGCCCGTTGATAGCGCGGATCTCCCCCAACCTAGCGGAGCCGCGCGCGAGAAGGGCTCAGACGCGTTGGCGGCTGCGCCACACCTTCTCGACTCCTTGGAGCCCTCTGCGCGCGCGGCTCGAGGCCTGCCCCAAGACGGGGCGTGCGCTACCTCGGTTGCGATGCGCACCAGCCGAGTCGCTGGCCCAGCGGCCGCGGTTGCGCGGCGCGCGCGTGCCGACCGGCGCGCTCGCGCGCGATTCCTATCCTCGGTCGCCGCTGCCGAGGCCGCTCTCACCGAGGTTATGCTGGGAACAGGCGAAGAGACTGGCGAGAGCGCGGGAGAGCTGGCGAAGCGAATGCAGACGCTCTTAGCCGAGCTCGAGCGGCGCAAGGATGCGATGCGCATCGCCCGCTCTCGTCTTGCTGATTGCGTCAGAGAGGCCGCCTCCGCTGGATTCCCTGAGGCGGCGGCGTACTCGCCCTCGCCTGTGGCAGCGCCAACTGCCCTCGCGGAGGTGGACAGCGCCGCCGAGGCGGAGGCCAGGGTTGGTACGGGCTTGCACAGCGAGGCTGAGCCGGCGCGGCATCGCGACGAGAGTGCCACCCTTGCCTGGCCTCGGCGAGTCCCCCACCCCGCGCGCCGCCGCCGCCGCAGGGCGGCAGAGACGGAGCCTCCCAGCGCTCCCTGGTCAGGCGCTGTTCTGACTTCGGCCGGCGATCGGCGCAAAAGAGCTCTCTACGCGTTCGAATTGTGGTGCGCCGAGGACGCAGGGGTGGCGCCACTTCCGCTGTATCGTAGTGGGATCCTGCTGTCGAGGTTCCTCGCAACGTTCGGCGTGTGGCTGCACGACGCAGGTTTCCCGCTCAACATCCTGGTGCACGCGATCATAGGCGTCCAGGCACGTCTCCCTCATTGGAAGCCCTTTCTCACCGAGGCGTGGGGAGTGGCGAGGGCCTGGAAGCGGTCTCAGCCACCTCGCCTTCGGCCGCCAATGCCACGAGCGCTCTTGCGCGCTATGGTGGCAGTTTGTTTCATTTGGGACTGGCCAGTCATGGCCGCCTTGCTGCTGGCAGGGTTCACGATGTCCTTGAAGCCCGACGAGCTGCTGTCAGCCCGTCGCTGTGACCTTTTGTTGCCTTCGGATTGCCTTGAGTCCTCAGGCAACGCTTGGATGACCATTCCCGATCCAGTGAGCAGCATGTCTTACCCGCCACAGCACGCCTGGTGCTCTGACAAAGCGGTGGTTCGGGTTTTGGAGATGGTCTTTCGGCATTTGGGTCCCACCGATCCTCTGTCGACCTTTGGTCAAAGCGGCTTCCGTACTCGGTGGAACCATTTACTTTTGGCGTTAGGCGTACCGCTCGCCGAGACGCCAGCGGGGTTCCACTTGACCCCTGCTTGCCCCCGCGGCTCAGGCGCGACAGACTTTCATACGGCCACAGAAGATATTGGTCGTATCTTCTGGCGTAGTCGCTGGCGCCAGGCGTCTAGCGCGGAGCGCTTCTTGCACGACGATGCTTCCGCCGCGATGCTTTCCGCCTTGCCTGATGCCGCTCGGGCCCGTGTCACCTACTTCGATGGCGCGAGCGACTTCCTTGTCGCTTCCTTTCTGAACTGTGGCCCCACTGCGTGGCCCCTTCTGCTCGCGGCCGCCCGCCAAAACCTTGTCACTTCGCAAGGGCTTTGAGCCTGGGTATGGCTGCTACGGCCACCTGGCCGTCCAGATGGCCTCGTTGGACGAGGTCGTCTGAGGGCGCCGCACGGCTTGGGCGCGGCGCCCCGTCATCCTTTACGGGTCGCCGCGCGCGCGCCGCGCGCCCGCCTCCGGGACCTGATCGCTTGCGCTGCGTGCGGGAGAATGCGCTTCTCTATTCTCCTTGCCGCTCGCGCCCGTTCAGGTCCTGCAGCTTCTCGGCCCCTTCCCCCCTCCCCGCCTTACTCAGGCAGGCCTGCGGCGCTGCTACGGCCACCTGGCCGTCCAGATGGCCTCGTTGGACGAGGTCGTCTGAGGGCGCCGCACGGCTTGGGCGCGGCGCCCCGTCATCCTTTACGGGTCGCCGCGCGCGCGCCGCGCGCCCGCCTCCGGGACCTGATCGCTTGCGCTGCGTGCGGGAGAATGCGTCTCCCCCACCCAGCGCAGCGTTTCGTGGCCCCATAGGGCGCTCCACCGAAGGTCCTAGTGGCGGTGTCCACTTTCGTCTCCCCCGCCCAGCACTGCGTTCCGTGGCCCGATAGGGACCTCCACCGGATGCCCCAGTGGCGGTGTCCACATGAGCCCCCGCCACTTAGCACAGCGTTTCGTGGCCCCATGGGGAAGTCCACCAGATGCCCCTGTTGCGGTGTTCGCACGCGTTTCCCCACCCAGTGCAGCGCTTCGTGGCCCTATATGGAGCTCCAACGAAGGCCCCAGTGGCGGTGTCCGCATGCGCCTCACCCACTCAGCACGGCGTTCCGTGGCCTCACACGGAGTTCCACCGAAGGCCCCAGTGGCGGTGTCCGCATGCGCCTCACCCATTCAGCACGGCGTTCCGTGGCTTCACACGGAGTTCCACCGAAGGCCCCAGTGGAACAGTTCACAAGCGTCTCCCCCGCAGGGTACAGCGTTTCGAGGCCTCCTCGGGAGTTCCACAGAAACCCCAGTGGAACAGCTCTCATGCGTCTCCCCCCACCCAGCACAGCGTTTCGTGGCCCCATCGGGTGTCCACCGAAGGCCCCACTGCGTCACCCCCGCCCAGTACAGCGTTTTGTGGCCCATAGGGATCTCCATCGGAGACGACCTACAACTGAGGCTTTTACTCACAACTGCTTATGGTTGCTTTTTCGCCAGGTTAATTTCCTTGCATTGTGGCACGGCCTGCCCCTGCTTGCGCGGCGTTCGACTCGTTTCGCGCGCCCGCGCACCAAAAATATCCCCACCAACCCATCCAGAAACAAGTGTCAGGGAACTGCTATAATGATGGCGGCGTGCAAGCATTCAGTGGAACGGGCCGCCGTGGAAGCGTATCAGGGGCGCAGACGGGAACACGCGTTGACTCATGCAACAAACGTTCTCCTGGTTATCCTTAGATGGTTTGTTGGACCGGTTGCGGTTCTTGACGGATGTGGAGGAGCCTGAGGCGCAGGTGCGGGAAAAGTAGGTGGATGGGGGGGAGGACAACTGGAGGAGGAGGAGCAGGAGGAGGAGGAGGAGGAGGAGGAGGAATGCGGCACGAACTTGAGCCGTCAGGGCGTGGCGGGGGGACCTGAATTTTGCCTATTTTTTTGGACCGTGGGGCTCGATGCTTCATGACCAGCAAAAGAGGGACCCACTCTTCGCAGGGTCTTTGCAGGGTCTTTTCCGGAGAGGGGGCGTGCAAAGACTCTGCACAGTGGGATTCTTGGAAGATCTTGGAGCGATCTTGGGCTCCATCGCTCAGAAAGGCGGGGGTCAGCAATCCAGGTCCCCCCCTCGGAGGCAGGGCGTCTTTGGGCCCTCTTGTGGCGCTCTCGGGGCGCTCTTGGGCGCTCTCGAGGCCCACTAGGGGCCCTGTTGAGCTCCTCTGGGGGCTATCTTGGCCCATCCTAGGGCAATCTTGAGGCCCCAAACGCACATCGGAGGCGAGGAGGCCAGACGGCAACAAACATTAATTCTCCTGTAGGTGCTTTGGAACGCTCGAAGGGAACTTGGAACAGTATCGGGGCTGCCTTGGGGCGTTTTGGAGGCATGTCGGAGGCTATCTTGAACCATGTCGAGAAGCATTTTCGGTCATGTTGGAGTCTATGTTGGGTTTTCCGAGGCCTTTTGGAGTTTTCTTGGGCCGAATCGCACCCTGTGACACCTCGCAGGGCGCCCGATGTAGGCCCAGGGGAGGGGGTAATCGGGGAGGGGTCGGCTCCTCCCCCAAGCAGGGGCAGGAGGGAACTTTTGGCAAAGAGAACGCGGGCCGTTCAAGCACCGCCCAGGGGGCTGGTGGGATCGGCAGGCGAACTTTTGCGCAACGCGTGCTGTAAAGACACCAGTAGATCTGGGATCCTAAGCTACTGTGGCAACCTGGATCCTCCACCTCAAGCGGGCGCATCATCATCATCATCATCATCATCATCATCATCATCATCATCATCATCATCATCCCCACCTCATCATCAGCATCATCATCACCACCATCATCATCGTCATCATCATCATCGTCAGCATCATCACCATCATCGCCATCATCATCATCATCATCATCATCATCAGCGTCATCATCGTCATCGTCGTCATCATCATCATCATCATCACCATTACCTTCATCATCATCACCATTACCTTCATCATCATCACCATCATCATCATCATCATCAGCAACGTCATCATCATCATCGTCGTCATCATCACCATCACCATCACCATCACCATCACCACCATCATCATCATCATCATCATCATCATCATCATCATCATCATCATCGCCATCATCATCGTCATAGCAACAATTTCCATCCTTCGCCGAGGTGCACTGGTGTGCCCCCGGCTCTGGGCGAGCCTGTGTTTGACCGGCTTGAGGCCAAGCTGGCCTTCGCGATGTTGTCGCTCCCCGCCACCAAGGCGGCTCGTTGTCCGCGGGGAGGCGTCGTCGTCGTTGTCGTCGCCGTCTTTGTCGTCATCGTTGCCGAAGGGGGAGGAACATGTGTCGGATGATGATGATGATGATGATGATGATGATGATGATGATGATGATGATGATGATGATGATGATGATGAGGAAGCGGATGATTATGATGCTGATGAGGATGATGATGATGATACTCATGATGATGTTGATGATGATGATGATGATGCGGCTGATGATGATGATGATGATGATGATGATGATGAGGATGATGGTAGCGGTGCTGCTGGTGGTGGTGATGATTGTGATGGTGATGATGCTGATGATGCTGTTGATGCTGATGGTGAAGCTGCTGCTGCTGTTGATGATGCTGATACTGATACTGATGATCACGATGATGATGATGATGATGATGATGATGATGATGATGATGATGATGATGATGATGGTGGTGATGATGATGATGATGGTGATGGTGATGGTGATGGTGATGATGCTGATGATGACGATGATGAAGATGATGATGCGGAGGAAGAGGCAGAGGAGGAAGACGAGTAGGAGGAGCAGGAGGAGGAGGAGGAGGAGGAGGAGGAGGAGGAGGAGGAGGAGGAGGGCTAGGAGGCAGAGGGAGGGGGAGGAAGAGAAGGATGGGAATGGGAGGGGGAAGAGGGAAGGACGTGGGCACGGAAAAGGACGGATGAACAGAGGCGGCCGCGGATGCGTCATCGATGGTTCCAAACATTCTCCCGTTCAAAGTTCTGCTTCGGAAGTCCTCAAGAGAAGAAGCGCTCCATGGAGACCCAAAGTAGCCCTGCCATTCGCCATTCAGGCGAAAGCTACATTTTGGAAGGGGATTTCCTTGTACCGCTTTAGCGGATGGGAAAGGATTGCGCACGCGTGACATCATCAATGCCAGCGAGGTTTCCAGCGAGAGCACCATTTTGAAAAGAACCGCCCCACACCCGTGCAAGTGTTGCACAAGTTTGCCTTTCTTGGCAGCGGATATGAAGAAGTCTCGAGCGATAGCTCCTTTTGCAAGATTTGAAAACGAATGTGCGCGGCGCCGAGGCGCCCCACTGTGAAATCGTACCTCCCTCCATCCTTGTGACCGTTGCGCCCGTTTAAGACGAATGGGTTCGGCGCCAAAGCGAGAACCACCATTTTGAACGGGTACCGCCCTACACTTTCGTAGCAGTAATGCGTCTCCAACCTGAAGTTCCAAGTATCAGGCGAAACGCGGGGCCCGCCCTAGCGAAGCGTTCCGTGGCGGGAGGGAGATGCGTGATGTAGTATCGGAGGTGAGGGGGTGAGATCGAAGTGGAACGGAGAGCCCCCCTACCGGGAAATCGATTTCGGTTTCGTGTTCGTGCGTGGCGTGCGCGCGGGCGAGGCGAAGCTGCGTGGGCGGGCGAGAGGAAAGTCTACTGTGGCTGAGGCGCGGCCGGACCAAATGTGTCTTTTCCGGGCGGCCGGTGGCGCGCGGTGTCCCGCCGGTGTCCCGCTGGTGTCCGGTCGGTGTCCCTGTGGCGGAGGCGCGGCCGGACCAAATGTGTCTCTTCCGGGCGGCCGGTGGCGCGCGGTGTCCCGCCGGTGTCCCGCTGGTGTCCCGTCGGTGTCCCTGTGGCTGAGGCGCGGCCGGACCAAATGTGTCTCTTCCCGGCGGCCGGTGGCTCGCGGTGTCCCGCCGGTGTCCCGCTGGTGTCCCGTCGGTGTCCCGTCAGTGTCCCGATGATGATGTGGATGATTATGATGATGATGGTGATGATGATGATGGTGATGATGGCGATGATGATGATGATGATGATGATGATGATGATGATGATGATGATGATGATGATGATGTTGGTGTTGATGTTGATTATGATGATGAAGTCGATTGTGAGATCGATTGTGACATCGATAGTGAGACCGAATGTGAGATCGATTGTGAGATCGATAGTGAGATCGATTGTGAGATCGATAGTCAGATCGATTGTGAGATGGTGATGGTGATGATGGTAATGATGGTAATGATGGTAATGATGGTGACGATGGTGATGATGGTGATGATGATGATGACGATGATGATGATGATGATCATGATGATGGCGTCGATCGTGAGATCGATTGGAAGTTCGACTGTGAGATCAATAATCAGATCGATTGTGCGATGCTGATGGTGATGATGGTGATGATGGCCATGATGGCCATGATGGTGATGATGATTTTAATGATGATGACGACGTTGATGATGATGATGATGATGATGATGCTGATGATGATGATGACGATGATGAGGATGATGATGTTGATGGTGATGTCGATGATGATGAGGATGATGATGACGACGTCGATGGTGATATCGATTGTGAGATCGGCCACTCGTCGCCACGGCTTGATTCGCCTCGAACCGTGTCCTCCTTCGTTGTCTCCCTCCGCTCGTTCCTCTCCTCGCCTCCTCCCTCCCGTCCTCTCCCTCTTGGTTCCTCGGCTTCCTCCCGCTTTCTCTGCCTTGCCCCACCTCGGGGCGGCGACCTCCTGAGGGCGCTCGCTGGGCCCCTCCCCCCCCAACCTAGACCGAATGAGAGTTCGATTGTGAGACCGAATGTGAGATCGATTGCGAGATCGATTGCGAGATCGACTGTGAGATCGGAAATGAGATCGATACCGAATGTGAGATCGATAGTGAGATCGATTGTGAGATCGACAGTGAGATGGATAGTGAGACCGAATGTGAGACCGAATGTGAGATCGACTGTGAGATCGATTGTGAGATCGATAGTGAGATCGACAGCGAGACCGAATGTGAGACCGAATGTAAGATCGATTGTGAGATCGATTGTGAGATCGATAGTGAGATCGATAGCGAGATCGATAGTGATATCGATAATGAGATCGAATGTGAGATCGATTGTGAGATCGATAGCGAGATCGATTGAGTGAGACGTTGGTTCCCCCTCCCCCCTCACCTCCTTATCACCCGCAGGGTAGTCGTATAGGTAAGGAGAACGGGCGGAGGAGGCACATCTGAAGGAGGGGCACGAGCAGGACGAGGGATGAACATGGGATGGATGAAGGGAGGAGGAGGAGGAGGAGGAGGAGGAGGAGGAGGAGGAGGACGGAGGCCTGGCGCTCGCTCGCTCAGCGCTCGAAGGCGCTCGCGCGCCTTCGAGCCTGGTGGCGCGCCCTCTGACGCGGCGCAGCCTGCGGTGCCCTCTGGGGGGGCCCAGCAGGCACCCGAGGCCGCTGCCCGTGCCACGCCGCCGTCCGCTGGGTTCCCCTCGAAGTCCTGGTCGAGCGCACCCCCCTCCTTCTCCTCCTCCTCCTCCTCCTCCTCCTCCTCCTCCTCCTCCTCCTCCTCCTCCTCCTCCTCCTCCTCCTCTCCCCAGGGTGTGTGTTCAGCCAGGACTTCGAGAGGCCCCGTGAGCGACGGACATCTCGTCGAGCCCCCCCCACAGGGCGCGGCTGCGCGAAGTGGCAAGTATGGCACCTGAGATGAGCTTCTACCCTGGCGCCCGCCCCTGTTGCATCCAGGCGCCAGCTATTGCAAGAGCTACTGCACTCCTCACACTCATCCGGTCCACATCCACCTCATCGGGGCTCGAGTTAAACGGTGCTTTTGCGATTTCGTGGGCCGTTTTCGTTTTGATGTCATTTTGCACCGCATGCGGAGCGAAGACAGAGCGAGGGAAAACGAAATCACAACGACAGCGGATAACACTGTTTAGCTCGAGTCCTGCACCTCATCACAGCGTCGCAATAATGGAGCCCCGAACGACACCGCCGACCGCGTCCGGATTGCGAAAGTCATTCGCTACCGCCCCTCGAGTTTGGGTGCTGAAGTGATCAGCTTGAAGGGGTACGATGGTATGCTCATGGGATGCGAAACATCACGAATCTGACCGCATGACCGTATATGGTGTCAGGCCTCTGCTCCTGTGGCGCAGCCTTCCAGACGTGACCCGCGACGTGCACGCCGCGTTCTCCCAGCCCCTGGCCAGCGACGCTACCGACCGTCGAAATAGCGGGGAGCACTTATGTAATCGAATATTGTGAGATGCAGCAGACGCGTGGGACCATGCACGCGTCAGCTCGTGCAAGCCTGCCTAGAGAGGCTCGCGGCGATCGCCCCAGAGACCGAAGACCACAAGCAGTTCCACGAGCAGTTCGCGACTGCGCTCCTCAGAGCTGGCGTCACCGGCGCCACCAAGAGTTCGGCGATTGCGAAGCTGTTGCGGTATCCAGCTGCCTGCGGCAAACCCCGCTTCCGTGGCTGTGCAACAGCGCCGCAGGAAGGAGACTGAGTGTAGGAACAGCGCAATTTCGACAAGTGGTCTGATAACGACGTGTCGTAAACTCGACCTCGTCTTCGTCCTCGCGGTAGGAAGGACGTCGAGTTCACACCCCGCGACAGTTGATCGAGTGATTTGAATTTTGGACGGTCGTGATCCCAACATCGTCTTCGTCCGCGCGGTAGGGAGGAGAAGGAGTAGGAGGAGGAGGAGGAGGAGGAGGAGGAAAAGAAGGTGGAGGAGGAGGAGGAGGAAAAGGAAGAGGAGGAGGAGGGAGGATGGGGAGGAGGAGGAGTAGGGGGAGGAGGAGAGGCAGAAGTTGAGCACGAGTAGGGAAAATCTTATGTGGACTCTTTTCGGGCCTCCTGGGGGCCTCCTGGCTGGGAGCCTCTGGTGTGGTCTTTAGGGCGCCTCTTTGGGGGCCGCCTGCTGCCTCTGGGTGGCCTCTCAGGGCCTCTTGGGATATCTCAGGGGACTCTTTGCCCGTCCGAAGCCTTCGGAGGCTGTCTTGTGGGCCTCTCTGAGCCGTCTTGGTTCCCTCTTGGAGCGCATCAGGGCTGTGTTGGGGCCCTCTTGGGAACTTGGGCGACCTTGGAGTCTTCTTGGGCTGACTCGGAGCCTTCTTGGGGGCCTCATGGCCTGTCTTGGAGGGATTTTGGAAGCCCCTTGGGCCGTTTTGGGGGGTCGGACACCCAAATTGGCGAGAACCTCGAATTCCTTCAACACCTTCTTATGGCAAATCAATGGGTGGTTTTTGGCCTCCTCGGGTTCTCCCAGAGGGCCTCGTGGAACTCTCTTGGACCGTCTCGGGGGCCTCTCGGGCCGTGGAGAGGCTGTCTACAGGCCTCGTGAGCCGTCATGGGCCATTTGGGGCCATTGTGGTGTTTTCCGAGAGAAGGTCCAAGAAGCCGTCCTGGAGACCAGATCGGCCGCTTGGAGGCCGAGAGGTCGCCACAACGTAATTTCAGACTGGGGCGATTTTCGAGGGATGCGCTGGCGAGGGGAGGAGGGCGGCCCTAGCAACTATTATAAACCACCTCCCAGACAACAGACGAGCATTCTCTGACGCGGCAACCACCAGTTTGAGGGAGTGTGCGGGCAGGACGAAGATCGACGAGCACGACACCGATTACGACATCGGCGAGTATCGAGGCGATTTAGAAGCCGCCTTCTGTCGAGACGTCCAGAGGCTTGGAAATCATCCGCACGAGCTTGATCGGGCAGTTTTCTGTCGCAGATATAGGTGTCTCGCTCTGTAGACGAAGACGCGAGATATTAGCTGTAGGCTATCTTCTCGCGCCCACGGGCTGTGTCGCGGAGAGTTGGCTAAAGTTGGAAGCATGCCAGTATACTATGCCACTTTGCATTGTGGAGGCCCTGTGGCAACTAGACCAGTCGTCGTATTTCAGCCTTGCGCTCGAGAGCGCAACGAAGTGGCACAGACCCAAGCGAGAAATGCGCACCATCGCGTACAGTTGGGAACACCCCACATGCAACGCTAAGCTCGGTCGTCCGCGTGGCTCGAGTGGCTTGTTCACGGAGCTCGGCAATCCAGTGCACCTCGACGATTCGTTTTTTTGGCAGAGGGCACCCATCGCCGCGCAGGCTCTCGCTCCTCGCCCCCGCTGATCTTGCGGCGCCTGCGCAACTGCTGCACTCAAGTCTCGGGGCCTTGTGGTCCAGCGACGGGCTTCAGCCACTGTATGCGCACGAGCTCTGGCCTGTGGCGCGGCGGCCCCAGTGTCGACGGCGTTGCTTGCTTGCCTGCTCCTCATCTTCCTCTTCCCCTGTCTCCGTCCTCATTCCCTCCTCACCCCCCTCTCTTCTTCCTCTTGCTTCGCTCTTCCGACCTTGCTCCTCCTTCCCTTCCCTTCCCTCCTTCGTTCTCCCTCCTTTCCCTTCCTTCTCCTTCGTGCTCCCCACCCCAGTGCCCCCTCCCCTGCAGAGGAAATGCATACCTCTACGACCACCCTTCGGGTGATAAGGAGGTTGTGGGGGTGGGGGGACGGGGGGAGCACCCACATCTGACTCAATCGATCTCACTATCGACCTCACTCAACGGGACACCACGGGACACCACGGGCCACCACGGGACACCACGAGACACCGCGGGACTCCTCTCGATCTCACTATCGAGCTCACGATCGATCTCACTCAACGGGACACAACTGGACACCACGGGCCACCACGGGACACCACGGGACACCGCGGGACTCCTCTCGATCTCACTATCGGTCTCATTATCGATCTCACTGTCGATCTCACTCAACGGGACACCATATGACACCACGGGACACCTCGGGACACCACATCGATCTCATTATCGATCTCACTATCGATCTCACTCAACGGAACACCACGGGACACCACGGGACACCTGTCGATCTCTTTATCGATCTCACTATCGATTTCACTCAACGGGACACCACGGGACACCTCCGGGCACCACATCGATCTCAGGATCGCTCTCACTATCGATCTCAGTATCGATCTCACTCAACGGGACACCACGGGACACCACGGACCACCGCCGGACGGGCGGGAGGGGGGGAATCATTTGTCTTTTTTTCTCCCTAGCAGCGGCGGACACCACGGGACACCACGGGACACCGCGGGACACCGCTGGGGCCACCGCTGGACGGACGGACGGACGGACGGGGGAGCACCATTTGCCTTGACTTCACCCTAGCAACGGCGGGTTCATTCCTCTCGCGTGCCCACGCAGCTTTGCTTCGCCCGCACGCGCGACACGAACGAAACGAAAGGATTTCCCTGTTGGGGGTCTCCGTTCCACTGCGATCTCACCCCCCAACCTCCGATTTTCCCTTCCCAGCCCTGCGCAACGGATCAGGCAGCTGAAGATATGGGAGATTGGGGGAGAGTCTAGGAGCTGGGGAATGGGAGGGAGCAGGAGGATGCGGTCCGGGGGGCTTTAAACCTGAACGGGGAGAGGGGATACGGCTGGAGGGGTAATCCGCTGTTGGGAGGGTAATCCGTTGTGGGAGGACGGAGGGAAGCGTGGCGAGGGAGGCAGCATGATGCCAAGGGCATTGGTTGCGCCTGCGGATCCCTGGCGCTTTCCCTCTCCCTCGGGCGGCCGCCGACCCGAGACGATTACCCGACCCTCCCACCAGCTCTGCCAAAAGGAAAACTGCAACAAATTTCTCGTGGCATAGACTGGATCACGCGCGGGCCCCCGTATCGCGACCTCGCAATCTTTTCTTGACCAGGATGGTGGCAGCACGATCGTGCCATCATGTCCTCGTCCTTGCCGTTCTGTCCCTCCCTTCTTTTTCCCCTCCCCTCCGAGGGCTTCGAGATCGGCTCCGGTTTCGCCGGCACTGCCATGCGCGGTTCGCAGCACAACGACCCGTTCGAGAAGAACGTTGGCGCGAAAGACGGACAGCGCTTCTGGCCCGCGGCCCGCGTTGGGTGGAGGCGGGAGCCGTGTTTCAATCGACTAGACGTAAGAGTGACCTTTCGCCGGAGTGACCTTTTGGTGCGGGCACAGATGGGTCCCCAGGTGGCTGAAAACGAAGCAGTAGCAGCTGCTTGCGCGCCCAGGTTTGGTCCCTCCGCGGCCCCCAAAAAGTCGCGCACCAAAGGTCACTCTTACCCAGGGTCACTTTTGCGTGGAGCCGATTCAACTGAGGGCCTCCCAAGCTGGTGATGATGGCATTCTGGCCCGTCTGGCTCCCGTCCAGGCCCTCCCAGGCTGCACGCTTCGAGCCCAGAGCGTCCGCCCGGCGCGCGCGTGCGCGCCGGCAGCCGAGTGCCTCGGCGCCTGCGGCGCGCGCGCAGGGGGAAGGGATCGGGGGCGGAAAAGAGGGGGGTGATGACTAGGGGGGGGGGGATTTCACGGCGGGGGCCATGATATTTCCTCCGATTTCATGGCGCCCCTTCTTATTTCATTACGTCCCAGGTCCCCCCGCTGGGCCGCGCACATGCCGCCGGTCATGATTTGCACCCCCCCCTGTTGGACACCCCCCTCTTGGCCGCTCCCGAGGGAGGGGGCACGGGTCAGAGGGTCACCACCCACCAAACCACCCCAACCCAACCCGAAGGCCTCAATTCACCCTCCATTTCCAGTGGGGGGGGGGTCGGGGAACGTTGAAGAAACACGTGGAACCCGTACCCCCCCCCCAAACCCGAAATTCGGGTCAAATTCCGGTCTTCGGGTTGGGTTGGGGTGGTTTGGTAGGTAGTCAGAGAGGGGGGTGGCCCTGGATCGGAAGCGCACGGAAAGGCCGGGGACAGAGGCCGACGGCAGTTCTTCGTCCATTCTGGAGAGAAACCCTCTGTCGGCGTCGCCGCGAGCGCTGGCCGCTTGGTGGAGCAGTGGTCGCCGGCACTGGAGGAGGAGGAGGAGGAGGAGGAGGAGGAGGAGGAACGCTGTTGCTGGGCACTGTGCCCCTTCTTCCCTGCCCACTTCGGGCGCGCCAGGTCGAGGGGTGCCTCTCAGGAGGGGAAAAAACACAGACACAATTGATCGTCGATTCCCAGGAGAATGCAGGAAAATATGGGAAGTGGGGGGAAGACACAGACCCAGAAAATATAGGGAAATATTGGGAATCCTCTTATTTGTGTGTATTTATTTGTGTGTCCCAGGGTCCCTTCAGCCTCGGCTCTCCGCGACAACGTGGCCGCCTTCTGGGGAGCCCCGCTGCCTCTCCACAGAAGGGCTGATCAGGGAGGGCAGAAGTGCCGCCTGAGCCCAGCTGATGTGCCCAGGTATGGGGGCTCGTGTCCGGCCCAGCGAGCTTCTGCAGTTGTGGCTTAAGGTGATGTCGTGGGATTTGGTGGGTGCTCACTTGGGACTTGGCAGGACTCAGTAGGATTTAGTGGGGTCGCACGTGGGAGTCAGTGGGATAGCGGGGGACCACGAACTGTCATTAACTAGGCGCCCGTGCGACCATGTGAGGCTGCCATGCCTGGCCACCTAACCTCGCTCATCGTCGCGTGGTGGTGCCACCCGTTGTCCTTTCGGGCGCCGTCGTGTCGCACAGTGTCGCCCTTGCCCCCTGTTGGCTTGGAGCCAATGCGCCCAGGGCGAACGGGCCCCCTCAGTTCGACCTCCAGACTTGCCTGGCATCGCTCGGACGTGTGCATTTTTTCTCGGCGAGGGCGATCGGGGAGCATCCTTGATCATTCGGCGAAAAAAATACGCACGAAACCGAACAAAACACAGGGAATGGACGTCCGAGCGATGGCCAGCTTGTGCATTCGAGGCGAAGCCAGCTATGGCGACGAGGGCCTCCAAGAGGCGCCCAAAGAAATCCAAAACAAGACGTGCCTGCCTGCATCTTGCCTCCAAGGCAATGGGAGGAGGAGGAGGAGGAGGAGGAGGAGGAGGAGGAGGAGGAGGAGGAGGAGGAGGAACGTTGCTGCTGGGCACTGTGCCCCTTCTTCCCTGCCCACTTCGGGCGCGCCAGGTCGAGGGGTGCCTCTCAGGAGGGGAAAAAACACACAGGCACAATTGATCGTCGATTCCCAGGAGAATACAGGAAAATATGGGAAGTGGGGGGAAGACACAAACCCAGAAAATATAGGAAAATATTGGGAGGTCCTTGGCGCGCACAGACCCCGGCGGGGCGTCGAGCTGGCACGGGTCCGCGGGGCTCCGCCGAGCGCGCGCGGTCCGCGGGGCCGTCAAAATTTCAGCACGGGGCCGCGAGTGGGACTCCAACCTCTGGCGTCGCGAGCCCCTGCCTACCTCAACGGCACCGTAACGGGTATTTACTAACGGGCACTTTGAAATGTTGCCGAAAGTTGCCACTTTGGGGCCTTTTTCTGGCATTGCAGCGTTGCCCACATCGGGAAGGGTTGGGTTCGCGTGGTCACTGGCCAAAGTACCCGTTAGTGGAGTCCCCGTTTGAGGGGCGCTGCCTACCTGAGCTCTGGGTGATAATGAGGTTGTGTGTGTGTGCGGGGGAGCCATGTGATCACAGCTGCGACGGGGCGCCATCGGGACCCACTGGGGACCAGTAAATCCCACCATCGGGACACCATCGGGACATCACCGGGACACTATGGTGGTCCATCCGTCCAGTGATTGTGTTTGTTCATCGATCTCCCTTTCGATCTCAGTATCAGTTCCACTATCGCTCTCACTACCGATCCCACTATCGATTTCACTTCCGATTTCAACGATCTCTTTGTCGATCTCACTATCTGAATCAGGTATCACTATTGATCTCTCGGCCTAACGATCGAGCGCATTATCTCACTATCGATCACGTGAATGATCTCATTATCGATCTCACTACCGATTGCACTATGTGTATCGATCTCACTGTCTAAGTATCTGTTTACCGATTTTACTATTGATCTCACATCGGTCACTCTACCAACCTATCAATCTCACTATCAATCGGTCTCACTGTCCATCTCACAATCGATCGCATTATCTTTCTATCGATCTCACTACCGATCGGTCTCACTCTCCATCGATTCCACGATCCATCTTTATCGGAGGTGAGGGGGTGAGATCTCAGTGAAACGGACAGCCCCCCACCGGGAACTTTGTTTCGGTTTCGTCTTCGGGTCGTGCGTGCGGGCGAGTCGAAGCTGCGTGGGCGGACAGGAGGGATGAAACCCTCCTCTGGCCATGGTGCCGCCAGGCCAAAAGACGCGCCTCCCCCCGGTTGTCTGGCGGTGGCCGGGGGTGTCCCGCCGTGGTGTCCCGATGGAGCCCCGTGGTGTCCCGTGGTGTTATGTGGTGTCCCTTCGGTGGCCTGTCGGTGCTCCGTTGATGTCCCGTATTGAGATCGATAGTGAGATCGATGGTGAGACCGATGGTGAGATCGATAGTGAGCTCGATAGTAATGTCTATGTGAGACCGATCGTGAGATCGATGGTAAGATCGATAGTGAGATCGATCGTGAAATCGATAGTGGGGTCGATCGACATTTCGATCGTGAGACCGGTCGTGAGATCGGTAGTGAGATCGATAGTGATATCGATTGTGAGATCGATGGTCAGATCGATAGTGAGGTCAATCGAGTGAGATCGATAGTGAAACTGGTAATGAGATCGATCATGCGATCGACTCAGTGAAACCTTGGTTTCTCCCCGCCCCGAACCTCTGTATCACCCGAAGGGTGGTCTTATAGGTATCGATCTCTCGGGGCAACAGTCGGGGCAACCATCGAGGCACCTTCGGGCCACCATCGGGACACCATCCTTTCGGGACACCATCGGGACACCATCCTTTCGGGGCACCATGGGGGCACCATGGGGGCACCATGGGGGCATGGGGCACCATGGTGGCACCAGTGGGACACCATCGGGGCACAGGTGCGACGCCATCGGGACACTATCGAGACACCATCGGAACACCACCTGGACACCATCGGGGGGCACCATTGGGACACCATATGGACATTATCGGCACACCCTCATGACACCATCGGGACACCGTACACCATCGGGACACCATCGACCATCGAGACACCATCAGGACACCATGTGGACACCCATCGAAACCACATCGAGACACCATCGGGGGACATCATCGGGACACCATCGGGACACCGTCGGAGTACCATGTGGACACCATCGGGGGACATCATCGGGACATCATCGGGACACCATCGGGACACCATCGGGATTCCGTCGAGACACCACCGGGACACCATGCGGACACCATCGAGACAACCGTCATCCCCAAGCCACCGCCAGCCAACCGGCGGGACACCCCCGTGCCACCGCGGTCCAATTTTGGGGGGGGCTGGCCTGGCTTCGCCCCAGCAGCGGCGAGTTCCTTCTTTTCGCCCGCCCACGCAGCTTCGCCTCGCCCGCCGGCGGGCACGACACGCAACCGAAATCGATTTCCCAATAGGGGGTCTCCGTTTCATCTCGATCTCGGTCCACAATCCCCCAGGAAATATGGGAAAATACGGGAAGTGTGGGGGGGAAGACAAAAGCACAGAAAATATTTGGAAATATTGGGAAAGTTTGTATTTGTGTGTATTTATTTGTGTGTTCCAGGGCCCCTTCATCTTAGCCAGCGCAGCAGTGCAGCTCAAGCAAGTCGATCGCGTGGCAGGTGCACCTCTCAGTCACGATTCCGGCCAAGTCCTACTACAGTCACGATGCCTTTGCGTCCCTCCTCCCTCCTCTTGCTGCCGTGCCTTGCTGTAGCAGCTACCGCGGCTGGAGATCGCACTGAGCCATGCAATAGTGGCGTGTGCTACGCAGGGGAGGACGACAATGCTGCCCTTCTGCAGAGAAGCGTGGCGCAGGAACCCATCGGCCCCTCCGCGAAGACGGCCCTCCCACCTTCGAGCAGCGCTGCGCAGGAGGGGACGCGCGTCACGATCAGGCGGGCAACCGTGAGGAAGTCCATCAGCATGTCCGACGTGTGGGACCAGCTGACGGGCTCCGTGCAAATCGACGAGCT